CAAAGGCTCTTTGAAGTGCCTAACCGAGGCTCCCCAAAGGCTATTTGAAGTGCCTACTGAGGCTCCTCATGAATGATGTCCTATGGGCCTAAACTTGATCCATTAACAGTGACCCATTTACATTTTCATTTTCTATATATATGTGAATCCACTTCATAATTAAGGTATGTTCTCCAAACCTAACCAAATCCCATCTCTCCCGTCTCTTGCACTCTTTTTATATTTTTAGTCCGGCCGTTGACTTGACCGTCGGAGTACGAACGGTCGCCGGACCTTTTTCTCCACCGGCGGCCTTTGCCTCCTAACGGGGTGCTCCATGTGCAGGTGATGTCCACTTGGAGGGGACGTGGTGGGGATTCTGTTGAGCTCATTTTTTGGGGTCAACAATTTCCTTTTTCTTTTCCCTCTGTTTTGTGTACAAAGGATTTAAGTAATCCTAGATCTTGGACTGTGATGATACAAAAAACATTCTACATAGGATTAGTCTGTGTTTTGAAAGAGTCCCCAACAGCTGTCTCCTCTTCTTTTCCCTTCGGCAATGGATGACCCTGCACGACAGCTGACTCTGTGGTTGCATCGAAATTGTTGGTATGATGGCCAGTTTGGTAGTTGTTGGAAAATCTTTTAGAGAACTTACCGGCTGCTTGTGCTACTTTTCTTCCTCATCAAACTGCATCGAGGATCCTTGGGCTGGGATGGAGGCAGTCCTGGAACAACGAATGGAGGGATTCTGGATGTAATCCCCATATAACATGTGAACAGATTGTGTAATTGCAGATATAGTTGGTGGAATGACAGGTTCAGGGGCTCTACCGGGTCCATCTACTGCTTCTTGGAGCCAACGGGGCAACGAATATTTTGGAGGACTACATCCAGTAACCTTTTCCTTTCCCTTGATTGATAAAATCTCTGATCCTGGTTAAACTTGGCAGATGGAACAGAATCGGCAGGCTCTCCATTTTCCATATGAAACAATTTTGATGATTTATCAAGGCCCTGTAATATCTCCAATCTGGTAGCATTTTCTTGGTTCTCCCTATGCTGTAATTTTAAGCTCTCTGAACAACTTAGACCCAGAGAACCCAAGCTGGTAGTTCCCAATGAGTTCAGCTGAAATGGTGATTCTGCATGAATGCTAGTGGAAGCCATTGATCTGTCTGAGGCTCCTGAAGGGAAAGCTCGGGAGACGGTAATGTGGAACTTTTGACATCCCAGGTCAGAAGAGGTGGAACCGGCTCACTGCATAGACCAAGTTGATCAACATGTACCAAATGTGACACGCTGGATTGAAGACCACCAAGACCCAATTTCATGGTGTCAAGTGGGTTAGAAATTCCAGTTTCTCATTATATTTACTTCTGTGCAATGCACGTGCAATCATTAATCAGAGATCCCAGGAGCAGGAAGTGCAAGCCCATCAAAGATTTTGAGTTGTTCTTCTTCCCATTTTGTTGACAAAGTTTCAACAGTTTTTGCCTTCGAAAACTTTAACCTTGGATTTCGTAGCATTGCCTCCCATTTACTCCTTCCATGCCTCTGAATGCTAATCCACAAGTTATCAAGTTCATCTTCAGACCAAATACCTGTCTTTGATTTCTTTTTGTTCAGGCTGCTCAATCCATATCCAGTTCTCAACATAACGTTATGATTATCCTGTTCTTGCTGATTAAATTTTGGTGCATCTAGTGGATATTTTAGATTTCGTAATGATGGCAGTGCAGGAAGTTCACCATTCAGATTTGAAAATCTTGATCCCAGTGACAGGCTTGGGAACAAGTCGGGCATTGAATGGGGGCAAATTCGCACTAGGAAATGGATATCTTGGCAGCAATTTGTCGTAAAATGGTAATTTCCACAACTGTGTCTTTCTTGAAGATTGAAGTAAGTACCACCAGAATTTCCCACATGTTCTGCTGATCCTTCTCCTTTCAGGATGTCCAGAAGATGCTGTAAATTAAACATAATTACTCACATCAAATGACTGGCCAAGAGAGAGAGCATACTTGATTAAAGGGCAGATAACTATTGGGAATATCACTCTTCTGCTGCGATTGAGAAGCGCCTGACAGGGGAACTTCCACAACGTGTTGGCCAACAGATATTTCAGAAATTTTCTGAAAAGCATTCGGTTTCTGCTATGATATCTGCCCCAACTTCAAGGATGAGTAATATTGTTATTTGGTCATGCTGTTGGAACATAATCTTTGACGTCAATTGCTGATAACTTCTCTTTAACGGGAACTGATGCAGTCAATTGACTCCATGCTTGAACACTGGGTGGTGGGAGCTGAGAGCAACTCTGGTCCAGATCGATGTTCAATGGGTGCAGATGATTCAGTTGCATTTCTCTTAGCTAATTGTTCTCTGTCTAGCACGAAGTTTAGCACTGTTGAAAGATGAACATGTAGCATATTATGGAGTCAGCAACCTTGAAATATAAGTGTATACATTAGTGTATGGAGCCCAATATATGTGTATGTATCAGGGCGCAATGTGTGTGCATAGCGTGTGCGTAGTACGTGCATAATGTGTGCATCATCTGTGTGTTGTACATGTTTCATGCGTGAATTAAACTAGACAATCAGATCTTTCAAACGTCTAAGCAACAAGAACAGTGGAGGGAGGTTGAATTTTTCTGAAATGACTCACTATATTGATTTAAAAGCTTTTCCAGATAGATTGTAATCCCGCACAGGCTCTCTTTCTGGCTCTGGTTCGTCTTCCACACCGCTCTATTATAAAAAATATTAAGAATGATCACTGGGATCAGCTAAATAGTCTCAAAGCAACACCAGTTCGTAGAACATAGGGCAAATAATATATGAGTTTGGCCCAAATTTGATGTTCAAATAATCCTCAAGGATATCAAGTAACTTGGTTGACTGTGAAAATACAAGGACTGACCATCTTATATAAAATCTTAAGCATAGAATGCAGCAGAGTGAGTTTTGCTAAAGCCTTTTATCTGCATTTCATGAAAGAATTCCACTGATCCAGAATCAGGCTCAGTGCCTGGTATGAGGTAAGGATGGTTGCAAACATTCCTTAACTGTGCCACAACATTTAACATTGATTTCACTAATTCCCCTTTCCCCACATAGCGTAATATCTGATAGTTCTTTGTAAGCAATGTATGATAGTATTCCACCTGAATAGATAACAACTCAACAGGAACCAATATTTCAGTCATGGGGGGGATATTCTTCACGGTATCCTTTTTAAGCCTACGAAGCATGTGTGGAGAAAAAGTTTTCTTTAGTTACTCCATCTTTTCTGCAGTTGTCAGATCATTAAACTTCTCCCAAATGAAGAGAGAGAACAAAATGACGCTGGCTGCAAAAAGTTCAGCAGATTATACAGCTCCCCTATGTTGTTCTGAAGAGGAGTGCCAGTCAACAATACACGATGTTGGAATGAACATGTATTTAGCAACCCAAAAAGTACACTGCTTGCATTTTTCAAATGATGCCCCTCATCAACCACAAGAACTTCCCAAAGAACTCCACGGAGATAAAATGAGTCCGCGATGACCATTTCGTAAGTAGTTAGAACATTGAACTTGTAAGCAGGTGTTTTCTTACTTACCGAACAAGGATTACTGGAATTCCATTCGTATTGACAAATCATGGTTCTAGCCCTTGCACTTCCATGATATTCCACGATATTGAGGTAGGAGTCCACTATTCGAACTCTGCCATCCAGTTGGGCATTGTGGATAAAGGAACCAAAACTAGACGTGGTAGTGTAGCTTTAAACTCAAAATAAACTGGTGATATAAAAGCACAAGCTGATACCGTTTTCCCAAGCCCCATTTCATCGGCAAGTGTCACATTTTTTGACTTATGCCAGCATTTCTGCAACCAATTTAATGCTTCATGCTGATGTGGAAACAATGCTCCTTAGGCTGCTCAGTGAGAGTAATTACCTCACTTTCTTGGAAGTCACCCTTCCTCTGCAGTGCGTCATGTTTAGCCGCATCATTTTGCACGGCTTTGCGTTCAAAGTGATAGAACAAATCAACCAAATGCGGTGAGTTTTCAAGTACAAATCATCCACTTTTTCCCAAGTGCATCTGTCATAAGGTACATCTGTCCATTTTACAAACGCTTCAGTTGAACCATCTTCAGTGGACCGAACAACAATCAACCGTTCGTTACAGACGTTCATAGTTGCTGTCCCATACAGTTCAGATTCAGGAACCCAACTGTCATGGGTATGAGATTTTCCCATCTACTCGACCAAGAACTCATATGACAGTCAATCCACTAGAAAATCCAGATTCATTCACGCAAGACTTGTCGACTTTCATTTTAGGAGCACTATTCTTTCTCATCTCTGTTTCAACCTCCTTTGAGCATCCAATCTCATTGGAGATGTGTGTTCAATGGCTTCCTTCTTTACCTAGCTTATCTGTACTTGCATCAACTTTTATGTTCTTTCCCAGGCTTATCTGATAATTTACTTACTCGCGACTTGTGAGACTATACAAGTGCTTCCTTTTCACTATTCAGGCATCTGGATCGTCGTAAGCAGCTCACAATCGCAATGGATGCGGCTTTTGGAATGGAATATCTGCATTCAAGGAGCATAGTGCACTTTGATTTGAAATGTGACAACTTGCTTGTCAACTTGAAGGATCCTTCCCGACCCATATGAAAGTTAACTAAGAGGATATGCCCTTTTCCTTCAATCAAGATAATAAATATTTCAATTAGCGTTGTTAAGTTGATAGGATGCTTTGGCAAATGTTCAAACAGTGTAGCAGTGGCGCAATATCACAGAGATGCATAATGTTTTACCGTCCTGCAGGAGAAAGGATTCTATAGTACCTAGATATTAAAAAATAAAATGAAGCAAGCAAAAAAAGGGACATGGTTAGTGTTGAATCCAACCAATAATTTGCATTTTATTTTACTCATTGTTCAGGTGGGTGATTTTGGATTGTCAAAAATCAAAAGAAATACATTGGTTACTGGTGGTGTCAGGGGAACCCTTCCATGGATGGCTCCGGAGTTACTAAATGGTGGCAGTAATAAGGTTTTGCACATTATCTTCGATTTTTATATTGCATGGAATTAGAGAGGAGGATGTGAAGTTCAGTGATTGATGCTAGTAGACAATATTCCTATGTGATGTGCGCACTTCGTCTCCAAGATGGCCCTTTTTATCCGAAACACTTTTCTGAATATTTCAAGGCATGTGTGAATTTCTCTTTCCGCCATTTTTTGATAAACAAAGCACATTTCATTAAAACAACTTTTAGAGAGTTACATCAATGCATATGCTCAATAATGTGTGAAACAAAGTTCGGAGGATCATTCCACCACACTACCAGGTCATTGAGATGTCATGAATTCCTAGTTAGACAATGTGTATAATTAGTGGCATAAAATTTGTCAGCCATATAGTTCTCTTTTCTCGTCTTCTAGTACCAAATGTAATAAGGAGTTTCTGAATCATGAATTTCCTAGAGAAAAGGAAACCATATTGTTAAATATTTGAGGCCCTTCGTACAAAGACGAGAAGAAAATATACACCAAAAAGATGGTTTCTTCATATATTGGTTACGGCTTTCATTTTGCAGGTTGATGTCTTCTCCTTTGGGATTGTACTTTGGGAAATTCTTACTGGGGAAGAACCTTATGCCAATATGCATTATGGAGCAATAATAGGTTTGTTCCCTCTTGGCTTGTTAATCAAATATCTGTCATGTCCTGTTAATCTCTTAATCTTCCTTTCTGTTTCTTAATTGCACTTTGATCCCAGTTTCTAAATAAAGCTAGTAACCAGCATATCGATGTCATAATGGTTTCCCACTGAAATTATTAAAATTCTGCACGTGAATTCATTTATTGCGAACTATCATCTTATCAACGATAGAATGTAAAAAAATGGAAACCAAAACAAACATTAATAACATGAAATCTAAAATGTTTCTCTTCCTTGTATGCAGGTGGTATAGTACTAACACATTGAGGCCACCCATGCCAAGCTTCTGTGATCCCGAATGGAGATTACTTATGGAGCAATGTTGGGCTCCAGATCCAATGCTCCGTCCGTCCATCCCTGAAATTGCTAGCTGCTTGCGTACAATGTCTGCTGCGAGCATAACTAGACCACAGGGCTTTGCAACACAGACTCAGCTATCCAAATGATGACATGATATAAACACTCATATCTATATATAAATTGAGTTCTCATCACGATTGCGCATTAATGGATTTGTGTATAAGAAAATGATTTTGGACATATGGTTTGGTGCAATAAATGAAAATTATTACTTTTTTTAGTTTTTTAAGCCTATATTTGCTTTGAGGTCATGGTAGAATAAAATGATTTGAGATCATAATATAGATATGTGTATTTATTGATTTATTCTGGTAAAATAATCTTCTCGTCCTTTCAAAACTAAAAGATAGGTACGTGTGCCCCCAGAATATGGGTGCAAGAAAAAAAATGGCGAAGCAGTACATGTTTGGTACACCGGAATTCGATTCAATACTTCAGACCAAACTTACTAAAAATGTGTTTCATTTTTAGTTCACTAGATAGAAACTGTATCAACATATAATAGGTACAGGAACAACATTAAACATCTATACTGAACTAAATATATACTTTATGCATCTATGTTTTCTTTTTCTCATGAAGTATAATCGATCTAACAAGGAATGAACCTACTAAAGCTGTCCGAGATAATCTTTCTAGTTCCACCGGAACAATTGACAGATTCTCTAGAAATAAAAATGAATTACAAGATAACAAATCAAATTTCTCGATCTTCATTAAGATGACAAAAATACCAATCTTATAAATCCTTTGTCAACAATTTCACACAGAGAAAATCTGTCCTACATTTAAAAGGCTTTCATGTGGAACATTAAAGATTACACTGTTTTCCGTGCATATCTTTCTAAGAAATGCATATATATAATCAATGGCAATTTTCTTGTGAATTCCGGCATCTTTTCTTGTGAAGATCTTTGTAACCATACCTTGCAACACAACGGAACATGTGAAAGTTCTTTGGGCCCATTCGTTCCACAAGAAACCTCTCTTCTTCGGAAACCATGTAAACTGGAAGGTACTTCACACACACAAAGACTACGACTGAACGTATAGCCGGTAGGTTCGTGATGAAGTGTGAAAAAATATGAGGTACCCCACTTGCTAGCTCAGTGTACACGAGTCCTATCCCTGGCACTCGGACCAGCCCTAAGCTGGGACCTAGCCCCAGAATCCAAGCCATGGAGACCTTACTATGCATCTCAAATTCGTATCTCTTGACTGTACCATAGTGCCAGACATACATGATGACAAGGAAGGCTGCAGCAATCACAAGGGGAACCCAACCACCTTGATCGACCTTGAAAAGCACTGCTGAAATGTATGTACACTCCACCGCCAGCGATAAGCCAATGAAAATCAGGACAAGAATCCAATGACAATGCCAAACGAGTAACATTATTAATGTCATGAGAAGGGGGGTCACGAGCATGACTATCACAACTGCTGTACCTGTTGTTGCATGGTACATCATGTTACAAATCAATAGTTTGTGCTCTCAAAGATATGTGGTATCATAATAGTTTTCGAAAAATTGATATTATGAGAGAAGGCGTTTAGATAAATCAATTAGCTATATTAACCAATATTTACGACGGACACGTGGCAAGACACGGGAACACAACTTTTGACTTTGCACTCTTTTTGAGCCTCTGACCCGACCAGACTCGCAGTTATAATGGATATGCTGAACTAACCATGGCATATTCCTAACCGAACATAGACCAACAGACTACTGTGGACCGATTGTGACATGATAGACACCGAAAAGACACTAGATAGAAAACTGAAGTGTTGGTGACATTTAACCTACCACCACTCTGACCTAACACACTCCATATTTTCTCTACATGTAAACATTTCTTTCTCATTATAAGGTATGCAATATCAAAACCCAAGCCATAACTCTGTCTTCTTATTTCTCTCACAAGTCACACCCAATATTCTAGCATTTGACTTGACCGTCGAAGCACAAACGGTCAGCGGACCCACCCCTTGGTACATCGGCCTAGCATTCTATCGTTGTTCTAGTGTGTAGGTAACAAAGAGGTGGCAAGGAACCTGCTGACAGCTAAGTCGAACAGATTTGGAGGTCAACAAGCTAGGCAACTTGCTGGATGCAATACAGGACAACCTTGTGGTAACTGTTGCAGCTTCAAAAGAGATTCAAACAATGCTGAGCTAGATGAACCTCAGTTTTCAGGGGGGAGGTGGGGAAGCATTTGAATGTGAAGACAAACTGTGAAAAGTAATTTCAAGAAAAGCTCCTTAACAATAGCAGGATTCTTGGGGAAAGCTCTTAAAATCAAAAACAAGATCAGGTACTGAAGGCATTCTTGTCAAAGTTTTGTAACAGAGGTAATAGTGAGTCCGAAAGAGTGCTTTCTACTATTTCCGTGACTTATTCGCGAGCATCATAAATGACCTAAGAAGAAGAAGAGTCCCATAACAAAAAGACAAATAGCTAACCAACTTCTTAGAGACATTAATTTACCCTCAGAGGAGTCTTAAAATGTGATTAAGAAACCACTTGAAGAAGCTTCAAATTATCTATTTTACATTTAAAGACAAGAACTTCAATATAAGTAGAAATATCAATTTCTTACCACTGCATTGAAATTTCAAGAAAAACAACTAAATTTCTAAGATTAGAACTAAACATTGTAAAAAGTTATCAATCTTTCGTGCGTTCTGCTGGTACCAAGATTATCTAGTCACCGGGCTATGGGAGGACAGAATTTCTGAGGCAACAAAGGGAGTAAGAATCTAACAGCCAACTTTGCATCATGATGTGGAAAAACCTGTCAAAATGTTAAAACACTCCTCAAAAAACTGATTTGAATCCAAAAATAAAGATGGAGCAGTAGTAGTATCAAGTATGGTGTCTTACATGAACGCATAAGCCAATGATAAATACAGCGAACATCCATAATCCTTTTGTAATGTGAAGATCATCTTTAGAGTCCAGAAAATAAATGATCGAACAAGATTCATATTGAAAGACGAGAGCTCTCAAGATAAAAAATGAATCACTATCAGAGCTTAACCTCGCAGACAGCATTAAAATTACACCTCCATAAGCAAAGATCTGATAGAATTGTTCGGAGTTCCTGATCATCTCCATCATTATTGTGCTCACAACAACTATTGGTAAAGTAACTATTATAAATCCGACATTTTTGGAAACCACATTTGGAAGCTTTATCAAAACCCAGTTTATTAAGGTCAAGATCATGCTGGAAAACAGAAAAATACCCAAATCCCAGATGAATATCCAGTTAACCACACTAGCGAGTTTAGTCAGGAAACGTAAGTAGAATAAAACATAAGAAATTGGCAAAAAATAACACAGCATTCCATCACTCTTCTGGATCAAGGGAGTGTTAATCTGAGCCATTAGAGAACAACGAAAAGTGAGAGAAAGAAGGGACTAGGGTTTCTGGAGTAAAGATCACTATGGGGTATTCATTGAATAGATTCAATAGAAGGGAATATTGCACAATTAGTCCCCAATCTTTAGATACTGTTGTTAATCAGTCCTCAATTGTAAAATTTTACATTTTAGATTCTTAACTTTAGCTTATTTGGCATTGATGATTATTTTTCACAATTTTCGTCAACTTGTAACTAAATCTTGGCTCATTTTTATTTTTTTACAGAGAAATATCTCAGTGTACCAGGCGACAACTAATTGGTAATTTGAACAATTATAACTAGGGGGTGTTTGTTTCTACTTTTCAACAGAAATCAAGACGTTGGGAGCATAATTCAATTCGTTGGGAGCCGCAATTTTGAACTAATTCTCTCACTGTATGGCTGTAGGTTTGAAAAAAAAGATAACATAATCAATTTTCCTTCCTCCTTTAATCGCGCCCAGACAGAGCCCTAATTACAAAAAGGCATTAATTCCAAAACAAATTAATTACAAGAAAACAACACGAATAGGTTTTGCCTATTTGTTTAATGAGGAAAATGTCATGTGCAAAAGGCCGAGACAGAAATTAAAGGACCTCCCATTTACGTGTTTTTTTGCGATATAACTTGAAACACAAAACAAAAATAATAAATAAGAAAACATAATCTGGCAGGTTCGGCACAGGTTCTGTGCAAGTTTGGTACATGAACAATGTTCCCTCATGCACTACTACCATTTGCATGTAAAATTGATAATTTGTGGCAAGAACGAAATAAGGTTTTACATTTGATCAAATTGAATTATTTTTAACATTGATGTTCTTTCATTAATCCATTATAGATGATTATGTATTTCCTTTTTCTTTCCCTTTTCTATTGTTTTGTGTACAAAGGATTTAAACAATCCCAGATTTTGGATTGTGATGATACAAAAAACATTCTACATAGGATTGGACTGTGTTTTGGTCGAGTCCCCAATAGTTGCCTCCTCTTTTCCCTCCAGCAATGGATGACCCTGCACGACAACTGGCCCTGTGGTTGCATCAAAATTGTTGGTATGATGGCCAGTTTGGTAGTTGTTGGCAAATCTTTTAGAGAACTTACCGGCTGCTTGTGGTCTACTTTTCTTCCTCTTCAAACTGCATCGAGAATCCTTGGGCTGGGATGGAGGCAGTGCTGGAACAATGAATGGAGGGATTTTGGAGGTATTCCCCATATAACATGTGGACAGATTGTGCAATTTCAGATACAGATACAGTTGGTGGAACGATAGGTTCAGGGGCTTTACCAGGTCCATCTACTACTTCTTGAGGCCAATGGGGTAGTGAATATTTTTGAGGACTACATCCAGTAACCTTTTCCTTTCCCTTGATTGATAAAATCTTTATCCTGGTTAAACTTGGCAGATGGAACAGAATTGGCAGGCTCTCCATTTTCCATATGAAACAATTTTGATGATTTATCATGGCCTTGCAGTATCTCCAATCTAGTAGCATTTTCCTGGTTCTCCCTATGCTGTAATTTTAAGCTCTAAGTACCCAGAGAATCCAAGCTGCTAGTTCCCAATGAGTTCAGCCGAAATGGTGATTCTGCATGTATGCTAGTGGAAGCTACTGATCTGTCTGAGGCTCCTGAAGGGAAAACTCGAGAGAAGGTAGTGTGGAACTTGTTGACGTCCCAGGTCAGAAGAGATGGAACCGGCTCACTGCATAGACCAAGTTGATCAGCATGTTCCAAATGTTACACGTTGGATTGTAGACCACCAAGACCCAATTTCATGCTGTCAAGTGGGTTAAAAATTCCAGTTTCTCATTATATTTACTTCCGTGCAATGTCCGTGCCATCATTATGATAGGATCCCCTACTGCTGATCTGATGAATGGAGAGAATAACTTGCTGAAATGAAGAACTAATGCTACCAGTGGGTCTGATGAATGTCAACAGAGAAGGAATTAGCACCAGAACAGTAGTAATTGCAGTAACTCCGCTATGTATTAGTGATTGCTTGTAGAAAAGGAGAATGTAAACTCAGTAATGTAATTTGTATTGAAATGAAAAGGAAATAGAAAGTTGACAGAACAATTCCAAGGCTTTCGAGAGGCCTTGAGCTCTCTTATTTGGCTTAGCCAATTACACAATACTTTTGCATGCCTTCTTGCTCACCCTCCTATTACATTTATACTAATATCCCCCCACTTTTATTTCCCAAACTACCCCTAATAACTAACTGAATTGGAACACTCTAGAATAGGACTTAACAAGCATGAAAGAATAACAATTGACGTGGCAGTAACAATGTGAACCGTATTGGAACCTATCACATTAATCTAGAACTGAGATACCCTTGTGTTTTGAAAAATAAAAATTAAACATCATTTTCTCTAATTATTGTTGATCTTTAAATGATTATCCTGTACTTAAACTTCTTAACTTTTCCTCTTGCACATGCACGTTTTTACATTATTGGAGAGTTTTTGTTTATTTTTACCTTGTCCTTAGTGAATGTTATACAAAATAGAAACTGAAAAATTATAGATCGAATAAACTTGAAACCCTAATACATAGAACTACTCCTAACAACCACTGAACATCAAAATCTCAACGATCGATCAGAATTCTATCACCATAAGATCAACACCATGAAAGCCCAGATCTACTCAACCCTCACTATTCATAGGCCAAACGCGAAGCTTCTTCTATGGACCAGAAGAGCTAAACGTTACCAACAATCAAGACAAGTTTCTTTCACCAGATTTACAAAGAAAATCAACTCCAGAAACAGATTCGTGGATTTCTCACAGAAGAAGAAGATGAAAGAACAGAGAGCATACAGAAGACTCTAGAAATCCTCAAGAATGAAAGAATACGAATCAATGGGAAAACCAGTCGAATACCCAAAATATCTATGCATTGAGATTGAGCAACCATTCATCCAACGGTCCAGAGAAACACATGCTTTTGCCAAGAAGAAAACAACCAAAGTTGCAATCAGCTAAACACTTTTAAGGCTAGACCGGGTATTGGGCCAAGAAAGAACCTGGGCTTCATTTCAATTATAATGGTAATAAGTAATTGGGCCGAAGGCCATTCATCATTGCCTAAGTGGGTTGGACTGGCATCATCACAACTTCACAATCTCCACCTTGATGCCAGTGGTTAATCAGGTAGCTTAATACTGTCCTAATCTGGATAAAACAACTTCCATTGATCACCCTCCAAAGCATCAAGTTCAGAATTGGTACCTACACTTAACAAATCACCAAGTATCAATTTCAGTATTTGCAAACAAGACTTAAACTTGACTAGAGGCAACACCTTTGTACCCATATCAGCTGGATTAAATTGGGTAGCAATTTTCTCAAGTGATAAGGCACATTTGGCAACAATATCTCTTATAAAATGCAACTTAACATCAATATGTTTTGTTCTTTTATGAAAAATTGGGTTTTTGCATAAATGTATAGTACTTTGACTATCAGAATATAATGCAACTAGGTTAGACAATTCATTTATTTCAGATAGTAACCCCTTAAGCCACAAAGCTTCCTTTATGGCCTTTGTTGCAACCACATATTCAGCCTCAGTAGTTGATAAGGCTACAACAGGTTGCAACTGAGATTTTCAACTAATACATGTTCCACACAAAGAGTGTGTTTGGTAGAGATTTTTGGGAGAAAAATTGATTTTGAATAGTGATATGATGGGAAATGTGTGGTTGAAAAAGAAGAAAAAATTATTGATGTGATGGAAAATATTATTTTATTGAAGAATCTGTGGTTGAAAATGAGAATTGATTTACTGTA